GCCGGCGGGGGGGCACGGGGCTGCGGGCAGCGCCGTTAGAAACGCCAGCGTTTGCGTTCCGTTTTCTAGCAGACGTGGGCATTCGTTGGGTTATTTCCAGAGGTGAAGCAGGTTGCTTTCCATGTGCCATTGCTCAAGTTATCCTGAAGTTAATTGTCATAAAGGATTGCTATTCCTTCATTACCTGTCACTCGGGGATCACGTGAGGAAATGCCGAACTCTGCACTGAACGCTTGTAGCCCTGTCAGCGTGCGTGTGCCCTTCGGGGTGAGGATCACGGGCTGCGCTGCTCGAGCTCGCCAGTGCCCTGGAAAGCACTGGGGGTTTCTGTGTAAATTGCTTTGGTGAGCAAAATCAGTCTTCTAAGGCATAAAGTTTTTTTTCAAAATAGCAAAAACCTTCCTATGTATTTCTGGAATACCGAACAGTAGCGTTCCTCACCGAGGTTTGGTTGTTTTCTTTCAGCAATCAGAGAGGATGGCATGCCGGGAGGCAGAAACAAAAGCATCGGACCTGTCCAGGTGAGCATGTCCGGCTGTGTCCCCACGGTTCCCTTCGCCTTTTGCCCCCTCAGCCTTGGCACACGCCTCGCGGGTGGGGGGCTTGGAGGTGACAGCGGCTCGGCGTGGGATGGGGCCGGGCTTCGTCTGACCGAGCCTTCCTCAGCCTTCTGCTGGCGCAGCAGGGCTTGGACTCCCCACAAGCGTTAGAGACCCCTGGCAGGAACAGTGGGTTTGTGAATGAAGCTTGGTGCTTGCTCGTGCCCGGGGGGGACACGGCGCGGTGCTGGGGTGCCTGTGAGTCCACGGCCCACGGCAGTGCTCTGTCCTTTGCGAGCTGCACAAGGACGCCCGTCCCTCCGCAGCTCCCGTAAATCTCGCCGGCTGCCTGCTGCAATTCCTTCAGCTGCTGCGAGCGGGGCACCCAGTAAATGTCTCGCTGATTGATGGCGCAGCTTGTCTGGAGATGTCTTGTAAAGCGCGAGGTAATTCAGCACAACAGCTTGCACTGCACGCGTGAGAAATGATGGCCATTTCCAGCTCGCGTCTAGAAAAGCGGTCTTTTAAAAGTTTACTATTTATTTTAATAAAACAGAAATAACACTGAAAGCATGTTCTGTTCCTCTCTGTCCCTGTGAGGAGACTACTCCCCCCAGTCCAAAACCAAACCGTGAGAAGCCGAGCAGCCAGGTGCCCTGCTCGCTCAGGGAGGTCTTCTGCAGCGAGCCGAGAAAAGAGGCAAGAGTTCGGCAGTGTGGCTGTGGGCAGCATCAGAGAAAGCCTAGCTCGAATAATTAAAAAAGTCTCTTGGTAATGACAGAACATTTTCTGCTGTTTGCAAATATCAGGCTTGCAACAGCGTTGGTTACTGATTCTGGAAGCCTCTGTGGCTCTGTCAAGCAGAGCAAACATTTAATTTCTGGCCGGGTAGCAGTTTTTACTGCCTCTCTGAGCCACGCAGCTGGGGGAACCCAGCAGCCTCGGCCAGCCGGAGCGGGCCGTGCCGCGTGAGGCCGGGGTGATGGGTCGGTGCTGGAGCACAGGCGCTGCCACCAGCTCCGCTCCCCGGGTGAGGCTGTTTCGCTGCCGCGCTCTGCGGGTGCTGTGCCTGGGTGAGCTTCCTGAGCTGTTCTGACAGTTTTGCAAGACTGGAATAAATTGTCTAAGCAATGTTTGGCTCTTGAAAATGATGTTCGGAGTTCACTGCACTTTCCTTACAGCGTGTTAACTCAAGGTCTTTCCCTCTTTTGTGTCAGCCTCGCTAAGGGATATGCACAGAATTAAAAAAAGAAAAAGCTCACAAGCTTTCATGTTGCATTTTCCCCACTACTGATGCAACGTTTCTCCAGGAGCATACCTAGCTGTTTCTTGAAACTTTATGCCTCAGTGAACTCCATTTTTTTTCTTTTAGTCCATTTTAGCTTCGTATATATTACTCTCTAATACTTGCTGTAAGTATATAGATGCTTGATTACTTCTTCAGGTGCCACCTGGTTCTTATCTGGAAAAAACAGTGAACAATGATTCTCTGTAAACATTTTCCTGATTAATTTTATAAGTGTCACCTTGCCTCTCTCAATTGCTTTATCAAACTGGAGCTTACCCCACCTCCCGTTTGCCTTTACCTCTGCCGAGTACTGAGTGATGTTCCCGATGACCTGGCCTCAATTACTCCCGGGTTTTTCGTGGTGTGACCGTGGCTGATTTACGGCTCTTTGCTCTGTGTACCTGACATCATCTTTCCCTGTGTCCGTTCCTGTCTACGGTGTTACCGTCACGTGAACGGTGCTGCAGGCACTGGAGGTCACCGCGATCAGCTGTAAATAGATTTTTTCATGCACGTTGTTCGATACGAAGGAAAGGTGTGATGCCTGCGGGGGTGGCACAGCGTTGCTCCTGGTGCAGGGTGGTTCCAGCTCTGTTGGATGTGGCCGTGCTGTCAAGGTGTTCACATACGGAGGCTCTGCCTTGTCTCTGATCTCAGCTGAAGTAACCATAATGGTCCTGTATTTGACAGATATCAGAGGAAGAGATTGAGAGGATTATGTCTGGGCAAGAATTTGAGGGAGAGGCGAACATGTCATGGAGCAACAACGGAGACAGTGACCATAGTTCCCCTGGAAATGGAGTTTCTGAGAGCAACCAGCCTTCACCCGTTTCTACTCCGTCTTCAAGGTGGGAATGACCCCTGGAAGAATTTCCTCTTACAGTCATCCTGACTGCCTTTCCCCGAGTGCTGCTTTGGGTCGATGTAGGAAAAATACATCGTGAGTGCCTCGTGGTGTAAACTGAGCATACTGCAGGTCCTTACGTCTCTAACTGTGTTTTAAGAAAGACAGCCACTGGATTGAAAAGAGTTGAACTGGGAGGTGAAATGCTCGTGAGCAAATGAAAAAGAAGGCAATGTCGAGTTAAAATTATATTTAAAATATATCTCTTAACTTGTGTTGTTGTTTTGTTCTGCAGATCATGGGAACTTGATTACCTTTCACTGCTCATTTTACATAAGCTCTTTCTCTGCACTGTGCTCAGATTTTGAAAATCAGTGCCTCCATTTAGGTCACTGATGGGCGGTGTTCTGCTGGTGGCAGTTGCTGCGGGTGCGAGCCTCCCGATGCAGCCTGTGGTTGTAAACACGGCCACAGTCTCGGACTTGCAGTCCGTCTGCTTTCAGTTGCATCTTAAGCCAGGAGAAATTTGTGCTCGCTGCTTGTGTAAATGCTTAATTTACAATCCTAAATTCTGGCCCTTTAAGGAAGCGGGCGTGGAGGTGCTGTGTTCGGTTGGGTTTCTGTCTTGCTCTCCGAGTGGCTGCTCAGCAGCAGTTCCCAGATCTCCGCTGAGTGGAACCAGTGCTGAGCCCGGCTCGACGTGAGGCAACGCATCTGGTCCGCACACTCCGTTATTTCCAGTGCAGGGTTTAAATAGAAAGGTGTTTTCCATTCTATTTTCTTTCCCTGTTTTTATTAGCATTTCGGATGGAGCTGGCTGCAACGTTTTCATGAATCGAGTGGAATTTTGGGGGTATATTAAAAAGCTTTTCCTTTTCCAGTAGGTCCGTGGAGCTGAATGGGTTCGCTGCACTCAGGGATCAGTATATCGGGACGCCGGTGTCCACGCACTATCAGTACCTCCCGCACCTTTTTAGCTACTCTGCTCACTCGGCTCTGATGCCCCCCCAGCCGCGCAGCCTGGACCCCCAGTCGCACAGTCTGATCAATCAGCTGGTGTCAG